ATGGCGCCGACTTGTCGAGGAGGCGGTGGAGCGGTTCCGCGACCGCCGCCTTCAGGGGTAAAAAGGAGTGGTAGAAGTTCACCAGGCCTAGAAATGCCTGTAGCTCCGTTTTGGACTTCGGGGCAGGGGCGTGGGTGATGGCTTCTACCTTGTCCTGGGAGGGGTGCAGGCTGGCGGCGTCCACGGCGAATCCTAGAAATTCCACCCGCGGCACCCCCAGTAGGCACTTTTCCAGTTTCACCTTGAGGCCCGCCGCGTCGAAGCGTTGTAAAACGGCCCTCAGACGATCTGCGAAGGACGAGGGGTCCGGCGCGGCGATCAGCACATCGTCTAGAAACGGCTGAACTCCGGGGATGCCTTTAAGGAGGGAATCCATAAAAGATTGAAAAATCCCCGGCGCGACTGAGACCCCGAACTGGAGGCGGTGAACTTTGAATGCCCCCTTGTGGGTCGAAATGGTCTGGGCCTCGGCGGTGGCGGCGTCCACCGGTAGCTGCTGGTACGCCTGGGCCAAGTCCAATTTGCCGAACACCCAGGCCCCGGCCAGGGCCGCCAGCACTTGGCTTACTACAGGCACTGGGTATGAGTGGGGCTGCAGTGCTTTGTTTATAGTGCATTTGTAGTCCGCGCAGATGCGGACGTCCCCGTTCGGCTTGCTCGGCGTGACTATGGGGGTCTCCCACCGGGCCGATGCTACAGGTTCCAGCACTCCTTGCTCTACCAGGCGGTCGAGTTCGGCCTCCACCTTCGGCCTCATGGCGATCGGTGGCAGCCTGGCACACCAGGATGAGCTTTCGGCTCACAAGGACTGCCTGCTGTGGGGAATCCGGGTGGTGGTGCCCACCCAACTGTGCCAACAAGTACTAGCGGCGCTACACAAAACTCACCTGGGGATTGTATGCATGAAGGCGCTGGCCTGCAGCTACGTATGGTGGCCTAGCATAGACAGCGAAATAGAGGACTGTGTAAGGCATTGTCAGGCATGCCAAGAAACCCGACCGGAACCACCCAGGGCCCCGGTGCATCAGTGGGAGTCCACACATAAACCATGATCCTGGATTCACCTTGATTTTGCGGGACCCTTCCAGGGACAAATCTTCCTTCTAGTGGACTCCTACACTAAATGGTTGGAAGTGGTTCTGGTCTACTCCATCTTGTCCCAAGCAGCAATCTACACTCTGTGGTGGGCCTTCTGTACCCATGGCATACCCGACACCATTGTGACGGATAATGGGATGGCCTTCACCTCGGGTGAGTTCCAGGAGTTCATGGCCTGCTATGCAATCAGGCACATCCACTCCACTCCCTTCCACCCGGCAACCAATGGCCAAGCGGAATGGATGGTGAGGTCTATGAAGGAGTCCCTCAGAAGGGTCATCCATGGGGACTGGGGCCACCGGCTCGCAGCTTTCGTTTTCGGCCACCGCATAACCCCGTGCACAATGACTAGCCGCAGCCCTGCGGAACTCCTCATGGGAAGGCGCCTAACCACCCGCCTCGACAGACTGGACGCAGACCGCACTCCGGAACACTGCCTGACCCTGGAAAACCAGGCAGCACCCCATGGATTCTTCCCAGGCGACCCTGTCTATGCCCTGAACTTCTTCAGAGGCCCAGCGTGGATCCCTGCCAAAGTTATCAGGGTCACTGGGCCCCTGTCCTACGAGGTATCCACCAAAGACGGCCAAGTACTCCGGAGCACAGCGACCAGCTCGGCTGCCGTCTCCTTCCTGCCGAGCCTGGGTTGCCTGCCACATACCCAGATGAGAGCGACGACAAGCTGCCAAGCCCCCAGGAACCGGAGCCCAAGAGGGACACCCCAGCAGACCCACCAGCAAGCAGCCGGCACCCAGTGCACAGCCAGAGGAACAAGGAGTCGAACCGCCAGAGCCAGCAACATCAGAGAGACCCAACATCACGCCTACACCACCACCACCTGCCAGCCCCTTTGATGGAACCAGCGGACTCGGCTCCAGCAATCACCGCCCCGCTGTCAGAACTGCGGCACTCAAAATGCGAGCAACGTAGACCGGCATACCTTAGGGACTTTGTTTGTTAAGCCTGCTCTGGACTATGGGGGGGAGGGGTGTTATGTATTGAACTTGCGTTTCGCCTGAGCAAAGACTTAGCTTCGTTCACAGAACAATAGGGGACCAGGATCCTGGAAGGAACCTATTGTACAGGAGTTCTTATGTAAAGAGTTGTCTTTGAGTTCAGCTAATCACTACATAAACTATGAGCTGATCACTCTGCACGTTTGAACCTAGTATATTTCATACTGATATTGAAATAATCAAGCCATAAGGAGATCCATCTCAACACATGATAATCTTAAAGTAGACTGATACTCCGTCACTATATCTGAAGCAGAAACAGAATTGCTAGTCTAAAAATAATCACTACATTAAATAGTAAACTAGCTGGCCCCTTTCCAGATGATGGCACCAGGAAAACTAGGCCATGGAGAAACAAAACAGTGATGTTTACATACTCAGTGCATTTCCCACATATGCAGAAAATATGACTCTGCCAGTTAACCAAGAGAACAAAAGAGAGAAATCCTTTAAAAACAGCCTAACTGGGACTGAATATACTCCAGGAACACAGAATATTGAAGGCAGCTGAGAGTCAAAGAACAAAGAGGGATGTAATAGAACAAATCTGAGTCCAGTGGCAACTTTAAGACCAACAAAGTTTAATTCTGGGCGTAAACTTTTGTGTGCATTCTCACATCTTCAGAAGATGGATTGGGGGGGAAGGGGTGAATTATTTTTTGGCTTGTGGAGCTCATATTTTTCTTGTGAGGCAGCTGAAGAGAGAAAAGGGGGAGCTCTTTGGTGGGAGCGGGCCTGCATGACAGACTCACCAAGGCTGGGAGCCTCTGCCTTCATTCCCCCCAGCCCAGCCAGTGAGCCCACATAAAATAAAATGGATGGGGTCTTTGGCGTGCAGGTGCTCCAAGCAGAAAATATTCTGTTGTACTTTTGCAAGGAATGTACAAACTTCTTTAGCAAATGCTTGGTAAATGGTGAAGGAACTTAAGGTGCCTCCCTCCCTCCCTCCCTCCCTTTCTCTCTCTTCGGTAATAGGCGGGAAAATGCCTTCCATAGCATTAACTGCTTGAAAACTACCTGAATTTTTTTGCCAAAGCAACATGTAAGTGGGGTTCTTACAGCAGACTTTGGAACACTGAGTCCCATGAAAATGATGGTGCACAGCTGCTGCCAACCAGAACCTTCTGAACTATTAGCTGCTCACTTGCAGCCCTAGCACAGTAGAGGCTGCGACTGTCGGAAGCGGGGAAGATATGGCGCCTAACTGGCAGGTAGAGAACCGGCCACTCGCTCGCTGGCCAGCACAACTAAAAAAATATTTTTTTAAATGCAAAATGCTTTCTTGGCATGGCTTCTTGTTGTGCGTGGCTTTTAATTAAGGGGCTGACTCCCGAAATGCCCCACCATAGCTACAGGCCACTCACTGAATCCTAGATGGGGATATTTTAGGAATGGGTTGGGATTTCCAAATTGTCCCCCCTCAATACAGTCTTGTTATACCCAATAGTAAACCTGCTGTCCCTCATCATGTTAATGACAGCAGCAAAACCAGGCTACACTGACAAGGTAGTCCCTTTTATTGCTGTGGGACCTCCTAGATATGCAGAAAAACTAGGATGTAAATTAACCAAAAATAAAAAAGAACAAAAAAAGGCATTAGGAAGATTAAGCCTCCAGGCACATGGAAGACTGAAAATAGCTGAAAGTCACTTAAAGGAAAAGGAGAGAAAACTAGTTGACTCAAGCCTCCCATAGAACAGAGTATACTGGAGAACAAGATTTTGAATTTGGGATAGGGTTTTTTAATTGTCTCCCTTTCATGATTCCTTACGGGACCACCTTTTTTTGTGGGAGGGAAATTAGGGCTCCAGGGCTCACTCAGCAATAAAGCTTATTGGGAAGTTTGGGGTAAATGTCAGGTTTACAAACAGTCAGATTTATAGGTAAAAGGTAAAGGTTCCCTTGCTCGAAAGCCAGTCGAGTCCGACTCTAGGGTTGCGGTGCTCATCTCCGTTTCAAAGCCGAAGAGCCAGCGCTGTCCGAAGACGTTTCCGTGGTCATGTGGCCGGCATGACTAGACGCCGAGGCCCACGGAACGCTGTTACCTTCCCACCGATTTATAGATACAGCCTGAAAATCTAATTATGCCTGCTGCCCAATTTGTATGGAGTTGTATGCCACAGAGAAAGTACCACTCCTCTATGTAATGTATTAGTTTCTTTTATTAGATCATATCTGGATGTCCCGGGCTACTGTGATCTTGTCACATCTCAAAAGCTAAACAGGGTTGGGCCTGGGTTAGCATGTGGATGGGAGGCCATCAAGGAAGTCCAGGATTGCTACGCAGAGGCAGGCCCACCTCTGTGTCTCTTACCATTAGGGCTGCCAGCTCTGGGTTGGGAAATACCTGGAGATTTTGGAAGCGGAACCTGGGGGAGGTGGGGGTTAGGGAGGGGAAGGACGTCAGTGGGGTAGAATGCCATAGAGTCCACCTTCCAAAGCAGCCATTTTCTCCAGGGAAACTGATCTCTGTCACCTGGAAATCAGATGTCATCTTGGGAGATCCCCAGCCACTACCTGGAGGTTGGCAACCCACTTGCCAAGAAAACCCCACAGGGCTGCCATGTCAGCTGTGAACCCTGGGAGCACTTTCCACCACCATTAGGTCCTTTAACAAAAGCTTCGGTCATTTAAATATTATATTAAGAAGCAAAATTTAGATAATTTGAAAGCAGGATGTTTTTTAAATGCCAGAAATTACTAACTCTTAATCTATTCTGACTATACAACACAGATAATATGAAAGGAAATACGTACACATCCAAGTCCATGATGTAGAGATCCAATCTACAGCAGAAAGACATATATAAATTCACTATATTTCAGAGAAACATAGAATTCTATCATACCTAGTAAATACTTAAAAATCTAAATATGTGTTTATTTTGAAAATATCTATGATACCTCTCTAAGATACAAAATAAAACATAATAAAAACATAAAACATCATAAAAGTTATTGAAACCCAGTATTCAAAAACATAACTACAGCATAAAATAAGGAGCAGCCTGAAATGAGTCCTAAAAAAATTTCAGGCTGAAAACAGACTACAAAGCAACATTTTAAAAATAACCCCCTTAATTAAAAGCTTGAGTAAACAGAAACATTTTGCCCTGGCATCTAAAATAAAGTAGTGTAGATTTAAGGTAAACCTCAAGGGGAAGGGCATTCCACGGATATAAACAAATAAATAAACGTTCCAACAAACAATCATAGGCAACTCTCCCCAAGCTCTCTTTAGCACTGTTAAAATGTCATTATGTGGAAATATGGACACTAATTCAAATAATTTTTATAGAAATTTACTTATTATTATAGATACAAGCAAGGATCCCACAAGGAAGTGTGGGGTTAAGTCACTTCATGTCCCCCATATCCTCTCCCCCGCTCCTGACAGCCCCCATATCCTCTCCCCCTTTCCATGATTCCTTCTCTCTTTCCTATTCACCAATGAACCTTTTTTTATCTGCCCCAAGTCTTCAGCTTTATTTTTTACTTCATTTATATGCCACCTTTCTCCCCAATGGGGACCCAAAGTAGCTTACATCATTATCCCCTCCTCCATTTTATTCTCACAATAACCCTGCGAGGTAGATTAGACAGAGAGCCTTGCCCAAGGTCACCCAGCAAGCTTCTATGGCAGAGTAGGGATCTGAACCTGAGTCTCCTAGATCCTACTCTGACACTAAACACTACACCACAATGTCTCTCAGCTTACCCTCTCTCCTTTTTCCCTCCATCTGGCAGACTCTCCCTAGGAAAAGCTGGGCCAGTTGCAAAAGTTTTTCAGTAGGAAGTCCCTCTGGTGAGTTGTGTGGTGTGGCCACTGCTGCTGGGCGAGGTGAATTGTGTGGCCTCAAGTCGTAGTGCTAATTACATGGTTGTTACGCTTGAGATCTCAGCAGGCATTAATTTTTAGATACAGGCACTACTTCTGTTATTTTGGAAGGTTTTAACTCCGCCCTGTTTATTTTTATTTTATATTGCATCTTTTTCTGCAAACCTGGGATCTTCTCTGTTCATGCGGGTTATAAGAATCCACAGATGAGGCCATGTTAAGAATTAGATATACTGACAAACTGGGAACCTGCAAGGACTTGAAGGGGGCACCTCATTTTCCCCTTGTTCCTTCTCCCTACACTATTTCATTTTTCCCTCATCTTGCCAGCCCCCTTCTTCTCCCCCTTTCCCTGCTTTCTTCTCTCCTTCTTGCTCACCAACCTTTCCTGCCCTGTTACCTTAATTATTTCTTTATTAAATTTATTTATGCCATGCCTTTCTCCCCAGTGGAGATCCAAAGCAGCTTATAGAATTTATCTTCTTTTCCATTTTACCTCTACAACAACTCCACAAGGTAGATTATTCTGAGAGCGAGTGATTGGCCTCAGGTTGCCCAGGAAGCTTCCATGGCAAAGTGGGAATTTGAACCTGGGTCCCCCAGGTCCTAGTCTGACATTTTTACCACAACCATCACACTGGCTTTAGTATAATGACTGCTGTTGAGTAGTAGTAAGTTGCCAGGTGCTGGACCTGGGTGAGTTGTGCACATCAGATTTTCAGATTTTTCTGCAAACCTTGGGTTTCCCCCCAGACTGGGCCGAAAAATCTGGGCTGTCTGTTCATGGTCCCAATCTCCCAATTTATGTATCCACAGATGGGGTCGTATTGAGAATTAGATAGTTCTGTTTTTTGAAATACCATTTTGCACTGTATATGGCAATAACATTTCTACAATACACAGCCTATTTATATCAGAATAATTGCTTGTGAATGGGCTAAGATATACCAAAACTATTTTCAAATCCTCATCCTTTGCATACCAAAAATAGACAGATAACTGCATGTAGAAAGGCAATCTCAATGACTGCCACACAACTATATCATTCTCTTTTCTCAAAGTCTTGCAACAAAATTTGGTGGGATATCTTTCTTTGTGCTGACTCGCTATTATTAGGGTTAAGCTAGAATGTAGGGAAGAGAGGTTTTAGAACTATTTTACCATTCACATTGGAGGTGTTGAAACTGTGCTTTATAAAAAAAAAACTTAGGGGAACAATTTCAAAACAAATAGCTACTGGTATCTTTTGAAGGCCAAAAATGTACCTATAAAAACTCCTAGGCTGGTTATCTTTTCTAGGTATAAATTTAGAGGGAAAATGGCTGACTGGTATAGCATGTGGATACAGAATGAACTAGGTTCAATTCCTGGTACAGGTGAATGGTAACACTGATAGAAGAGAGCTGTTGTAAGAACAGACAATATTAGGCTAGACTGACCAATGGTCAACAATATAAGGCCTAGTGTACTCCAAGTGGCCTGGAAGATGGAAGAAAACACTTTACCCTGTTTCATCTCTTAATTGCTCATTCCTACTAGTAATATATGCCTTTTCATTATTTAAACTGACAAAAATAAATATACCATCCCAAAGACTGAGTCATATACAGGCATTTATTTGTTGTTATAACAAAGATACCAAGATATCTAATTCTCAACGTGGCCAAATACATAGATTCTTAAATCCAGAGATTGGAGCCATGTACACAAAAGACAGATCTTTCAACAGACCTGAAAAATACCCCAGATTTACAGAGAAATCTGAAATCTTCATTAAAAAATACAAGAAACTACTCCTGTAGTTGTAAGAAATGAATGCCCTCAGTAGCTATTTGCTACACAACCACAACAGTATTGCCAGCCTTGGTTTTTGCCAGTAAAAGACATGGCCCTTTCTAAGGGTTTTTTTGGGGCATTTGAGGGAGGACTCATTGGAGCCAGGCCAGGCCAGGCAGCAATCACCAGGTGACTTGCTAACACGCAACTTACATGATTTACCCAGGTATCAGTTAAACAGCAGCCACTCCATGAAAGCCAGTGAGGAGTAGTGGTTACAGTTTTCAGTCTAGGATCTAAGAGACACAGGCTCAAATCACCAATGCCATCAAAGCTCACTAGGTGACCTTGGGCCTGTTACACATTTTCAGCTTAACTTACCTCCCATGGGTTTTGTGAGGACAGAACACAGGAAAGCAGAATGATGAAAACTGCCTTCGGTCCTCATTGTGGAGAAAGGTGGGGTACAAACAAAGTAAATAATAAATATAGCTGAAGATGGGAGGCAAACAAAAGGTAGGTGGGTGGGAAGGAGAGGATATGGGAGCTGCCAGGAAGAGGGAAAGAAGAAATAATGGGGGAGGGGATTACAAGGTAAGTGAGGTGCCCCCCACGAGTACTTGTAAGTTCCCCAACACACAACTGGGCATGGCTCAGCAGCTGGCACCAGGCAGCTGGGCCACAGTTTTCCCAGGCAGAGTCTTCCAAGGCAAGGGAAGGAGGGGAAGGAAATGGGCTATGGGAGTTTTCAGGAAAGGGAAAGAGGAAATAGTAGGGAGAGAGGAATAATTCCACCCACAAGTCCGTATGGGTTCCTCGCTTGTAAATTTCTGTAATTTTCAACACTGTATTTCTTGTTATTAGTTCAGTCTAGCTCCTGGAGTAGATAGAGGCTGATTTAAGGAACCGGGTTCTGTGCTTGGTTTCATAGCCTATTTCTAAATTAAAGCAATTCCTATTCTGTTGGATTCTTGTCATGATGGCTTTTCATACTATCTTATTCATGACGGCTGTGTCTCTGCTAGTTTTATTTTTCACTATCAGGGTTTTTTTTTTTAAAATCCTTTTAACTGAAATCCAATTTTCAAGAAATAACACTGACCCTAAAGTACAGATAGCACCCTCTTCCCCAAAATTCTCAAATATGTGATATAATTGGGTGAAGTTTCACCCAACTTACCGGTTTCTTTCCTACAATGAGTTTTTCAACCTTTTGCACCTGAGATACATGATCCTCATTTGTCTTGAGTTCCCGCTTTCGGATTCTCTCATAAATTCCAATAAGCATCTCTCGTGGGATATCTTCACCATCATCAACACCTACAGAATACAAAGCTAACAGTTACGAATGCACAAACAAAAGTGCCTCCATTTTATTTTTATAATGCCCTTCTAAGAAAGTGCAAAACAAGGACACAATTCAAGTTCATATAATTAGGCTGTAAGGTTGCCTATAATTACTTTTACCCCTGATATAAAAACCCAAGTCACTGCATGGTGCTATCCAATACCTCAATTTTACAATTAAAGATTTAAACATCTGGCATTAATAATTACTATTATTGTTGCATTCTGATTATTTTAAATAGGGATCTAATTGTTAATTAGAATAATTATGCAGTGGTCATGTACTCATATGTCAAAACCTTGATTTTTTTACATGCTCACATATGAAAATGCATATAAGTTTTTAAACAGTGCAGTACTAAGTTTGAGAACAAATATGGATGTGCTAAAGAAATAATGGACTCTGTCTGTGTGTGTGTGTGTGGGGGGAGACCATGCAAGTCACAAATTTGATAGAAACTCCCTAAAATTGATTAACCAAACATGTTGGAACAACATGAAAGGAATCAGAGTAATGGATACATTTTGGCATAAAGCAAGACTTCAGCTGTCAGATATGTCCTTGGACCTTTCCCTACAGCAAAACATCTTGTGCTGCCAAGGTAATCATATAGTGGCCATGGAGAAGGAGGACGTGGAATGCAACTAAAGTTGTGAAGATGTTGTGTTGGATCCCACAGTAATTCTCCATGGACAGGAGGGATCTGGGACCAAACCCAAATTTTATTTGTATATTAACTTTTGAATCCATAAAGCAGTTTATTTCACAGAGTGATACTTTTTTTTTTTAACTGTTCAGACATTTCTTTTTTGCAATTGTCTTCTCCTATGATAGGGTAGGGTAGAGTCGGACCCGACTGGCTTTCGAGCAAGGGAACCTTTACCTTTTATGGTAGGGGCAGGCAGCACAGGTAAAATGAAGAAACTAATCTTCATGAGGACCCTGAGGCAGCATTTAGACCTGTTGAGCCTGTGGGCACTTTTGGGATTTTGAGAACATTGAGTGGATGCTACTACCAATTGGCTGCCATGGAGGCTGGGTCTAATCACCAGATATTGGGAGGTATCAAGCCAAGCAAGCATGCTCCTGTTGTTAAAACAGATGTTTCTGTATGCAGACAGAACACCTCCTGGACCCATCTGAAGCACCTACTGCTCAAAAGTGATGTAAAAAAGGCAGAATAAGCTCTTTGCTTTGGAAAAACATGACTAAGAAAAGAAGGACGTTAGCTCCAGAAACCACATGACTGGCACCACAGTAGGGATCACTGACTTAGGGGGAGAAGGAGACCTCCTCAAATCACCACTCAGGCCTATGGAGTCTGGCAAGAGATGACATGAGCACCATCTCCAAATCTGACCCAGAGTTCATGGGCTTGGGGGTCAGTGACATGGCCTCTCAGCATTTTTATATCTGGCTGTGAGGAATCTGAACTGTTACATTAAGATGAGATAGTGACAAGGAGAACTCCTTACCTGCCTTTTCCAAGTTAGTATTTCTGTACTGTGGGGGAAGAATCTGTTAACCAATATATTATCCGTTTTTTTTGTGGGGGGGGGGGGGTGTTAATAATGTTTGAGGCCCAAGATGTAACCTATAAAGTTTGCCTCTTATTTGGGTGTGCGGTGGTGGAAAGTGCAGGTAAGTCAGAGCTGACTTATGGTGACTCTGTCAGTTTTCAAGACAAGAGATGGTCAGAGGTGGCTTGCCATTGCCTGCCTCTGCCTCACAACCCTGGTATTCCTTGGAGATCTCCTGTCCAAATAATAGCCAGGGCCGACTCTGCTTAGCTTCTGAGATCTAATGAGATCGAGCTAGCCAGGACAGGTTGAGTGTGTAGTTTAATCCAAGCTGTGGTTCTATCAACAATTAATACAGTGCTATGTTCCCTGTATATATCTGGCAATGCCTGTCCCCACAGGCAAGACTGTACTATATATTTACTGGAAGTCCCAATCAGCAACCATTTACAACTGCTTAACTAGTGTTTTGTTACTTGTGATGACCCCAAGATTTCTGAAATAATCTTTGATTAGGGACCCTAGTTATCTTCAATTAATACAAGAAGAAAAAAAGCAGCAATCACTTTGCCTGAAATTAAACAAAAACTAACCACTCTCCCCGCCAAACAACATTGGATAAATGTGGTCATTACTGTCTACTCTAACTAGCAGTAGTTGTTCAGGGTCTCAGGCCAAGGACCTTCACATCACCTACTACCTGATCCCTTTAAATTGAGAGACCAAGGATTGAATTTAGGACCTTCTGCATGCAAAACAATTGCTCTACCACTGTACCATGGCCCATCCCCATCATGAGTGAACAGGGAATAACTAATTAAGTAGAGAACGGCTGTAGAACAACGGTACAAAATTTAAAGGTCTGCAGTCCTGGGAAAGCTCAATAGTGCTTTGCTTGTGCAAACCTGAAAGGCTCTGCAGCTGTGCTTTAAATGAAAGAAAAATGGCCACAAGCCAGGTCTGGAAAAAGACTGGAGGACAACAATGAATGCAATGGGCTGGCAGTGACATTTGTCTATATTCTCCATAAAAGAGGAATAATAAAATTATGTCAATTCCAGAGTGAACGGCTAATAATGGAAATAAGCCCTCTCAAAGCACTTATTTTTAAAAAAAATCAAGCACTCAAACAATTAAGTTCTGCCAACAATTAGGATAACTGCTTCTGGTAGTGGATAGCTCAGCAAAATGAAATGAAAGCTATATAACCAAAAGAATATTTGAATGTACAGTTTATCTTTAACTTCTGTATATACCACTTGACTACCCCACTGCTCTCTCCACTAGTTCCTGTTTTCTTTCAGTACTCATTGGGCCTTCTGTACCTGTTTTACTTCAATAAACTAACCGTCATATCTCACTGGCATAGGTGTAAAGTTTTAAGTAGAAGAAAAAGAGATTGGATTTATATCCTGCCCTTCACTTGGAGTCTCAAAGCGGCTTACAATCTCCTTCCTTTCCTCTCTTCACAACAGACACCCTGTGAGGTAGGTGGAGTTGAGAGAGCTCTGAGAGAACTGTGACTGACCCCAAGGTCACCCAGCTGGCTTCATGTGAAGGAGTGGGGAATCAAACCCAGTTCTCCATATTAGAGTCCGCCGCTCTTAATCACTACATGAAACTGGTTCCCATAGTAGATGTGAAGATGTGAAAAATGTCATTACAAACAATATTTCTAAGTGCAAGTGATATTTTAAGTAATTATGGAAATAAGAAGGATGACCAAAAGAATTTCATGGAGAAGATGCACTTAGATAATTACAGCACCAGGAGGGAAGTACAACAAAAATAGGGAGCTGAGTAAATTTCTGTCTATACAGTGAACGGTGATTACTGTGGGTTGGATTCAGTGCTTTCATGAATGGAGCGAATTTACAAAAGCCATTCTTATTAGCTTTCCTTTCCCAAAGCTGCCCCATGAGTCTCTCCCCACTCCGAGTCACTGCAGAGGTAACTTAAGAACCCTAAAGAGCCACATGCAATACAGCACCAGGCAGAAGTTCAACAAAAACAGGGAACTGGGTAGATTCATCCTCCATCTTGTGCAAACGTCACACCCTCATCCTCTGCCTGCACAAGAGTGAGGGAGAGTGATTCCAGTGGATTCCCTATTTGTGCAGCAATGCATCTCCCCAAGCCTGAAGAAAGGGGACAATTAAAAAATCACTTCCAAAGACTCTCACAGAAGCACTGGATCAACACTTTTGTCTTCTGCAATGAAACTGTTATAAATAAACACCACCTACTCTTCCTGGAAACTCTAACTGTTACTGGAGATTTTTTATTAACCTTCGTTATGGCAAAGTTATTCACATGAACTTAAGTGTTGGACTATTTATTATCCAGGTGTAGGAATTATCTAAATAGTAACCCTTACTAATAAAGGAATTAAAGATGCTATGGAATAGCAGTAAAATTAGTTCACATACGACAGTCTGCTGGTCACATACACCAGACACTGTCCAGTTCATATCATAGCAATAATAAACTTGGATCATGTATTTACTTTGCCTACACAACAAAATTTGAGTCTAGTGGCACCTTTACGTCCAACAAAGTCTTATTCAGTATAAGCTTTCATGTGTAAGCACACTTCATCAGACACATTTCATTGTGTCTGAGAAAGTGTGCTTGTACATGAAAGTTTATACTTTGAATAAAACTTTGTTGGACATAAAAGATGCCACTGGATTCAAACATTGTTCTGCTGCTTCAGACCAACATAGCTACCCACCTGAATCTTACTTTGCCTACGAAGATCTCAATCCAACAGCCTCCTCAGAGTTGTTACACTAATTCTCATGTAGAATGCATCCACACAAACATGCACACTGGAACTGAAGCAGATCTTCCTTTTATGATTTTTGTGCCCTACAACATCCTTTAAAGAGCCAATGAAGTTTCTCTGGATCTAGTACAAAGGCAGCAAGCCTGTTGTTTTTTGGCAAGTGTCTCCCAGATCCATCCACTACTTATATCATACCTAAAAGCACTCCCATTTGAAAAAGAAGATGGGTGTGGCAGCATTATCAGTGATTAAAGCATTGCCTGTTCCCCCTTTTGCAATGTGTTGTCACTTAGTGAAACATCATGAAAATGTGCTAAAAGACTTGCCTCTTGTTTTAAGGAGATCTGAACTCTCAATACTTGTTTTATTATGTCTGAGACAGGGCAAACTCTAACATATCTGGTTTCTAAATTTTGAAGGATTATGAGAACATGCCTACCTCTTAGATTCTTGACAAAATCTTCTAGCTTCATTTTGCGTTCTGGTTTCACATTTGGACTATACATGTCTGTGTTTAATAATATGATTGCAAAAGCCAGGATGAAGATGGTATCAGGATTTCTGAACTGTCTCACAACGCCTGGATTGCAAATGCAGTATCTCTGGCTACAAGACACACCGGAGGAAAAAGATCAGATTCAAGGAATAATCGATATACCATTTAGAACCAACAGAACCATTTCATTCAGGATGTTGAAACGGTACTCACTTTGTCATATGCTCTAAAATTATTTGCTACTTTCTTACATTCTCTCTGCTAATGATAGTTCCTTGAATGCTGATGATTTAGTACTATAATGCAAACCACTGGTGTAATTTGCTGATCTAGATACTCCAGTGGTTAAAGCTATTTCTAACTCCATTAAATTAAGTGCACCCAGTCCTGCTAATTTCACACATTTTGTAGGAATACATGCAGGCCAACAGTGCAATCTGTAAGAACTATCTTCTATTAAAAAAAAGATTTACAGTGCTGTCCTAAGCAGAGTTACACCCTAAATCTACTGAAGTCTATGGCTTTGAAGGGTGTTAACTCTGCTTAGGTTGGCACTCTCAGTCACTGGAATGTCTGCAATATTAAAGAGATTGGATAGGGTTGCCAGTCATTCATTCTCCTGTCATGTGTAGCTATGTTCACTGGAGGCTTCTACAAACTGTAATTTCCATACGGCCCACAGCCTACTTTAGGGAACTTTGTGGATTTTCCAGGAGACTATATTTTTATCCCACTGTACTTCCAAGTACTTCATGATTCCCTCCCCTTCTCCATTTTGTCCTCACAACAAGGTAAAGTAGCTTAAACAGATAGAGAGTGACTGGGCCAAGGTCATCCAGTGAGTTTTATGACAAAACAGGATTTGAACCTGGGTCTCCCAGACTGCAACCCACATTCTAACCTCTATGCCAAACTACAGCATACTCATAAAGACTGACTGTAATGGTGCACCAGTGCCGTGTAATTTTCTGACTTCTAACTAAGAATGCACAACCCATAGATACCAGCAAAAAAGCCAATGCTTATGTGCTGCATACTGTATTTAGCATTAAATGTACACTGATGCCCATATGCCCAATGGCTCTGGCCAACAAGTCTGTGATATCCTCTGAGGATATGATCTTTATTTTTAGAATATTGGGAGATTCATTACATTTCTTTCCATGCTCCACCAAGGATAAAGAACATTTGTCTAGGCTTTAATAAGTTAATGCTCTCTGCTCAGCTAAGCTAAACTGCTTAATTAAAAGGTCAACAGAGTATATTGCAAAATGTAATGAAAGGAAATGCTTCCACTTCAACAAGATTCTTTTTAAAAGGTTTAAGTTGAAATCAGGCAGGTTTTTGTTTCAATTTAAGATTGATGGCATAAGAAATATCAAATAAAGCTGCCAGTCTACAATATTTAATACACTGGAAACAGAATTTTAGATTAAGAGACTATCCAAACAGTCACTTGCGGAAAATGAAACACAGACAGCACAATAAATCTGAGTACATCCTTCTCATTCAACAGATGAAAGGATAAATCTTCTTTGCTAACTACTTATATCATACCTAAAAGCTTCAATCAGTCGTTCTACTTTCTGAGCCTCTCCTTGGACACGGATATGAGCTTGAAATTTCCTGAGTGCTTCATCCAGTTCCATAGCTGAGAAGTCCATCTCATCCACAACACAGCTAGGGCACAGAAAATTTTCATTTGCTTTTGTTTTCCTCTGCCCATCGTCTTAGAATTATTTAGCAAAGAATATTGTCTCCAATATTTTATTACTTGAAATAAAACACAAATAACTATATTTTGTATAACATTCAGTCAGAAGAAGCAAGGAAAGGTAAAATAAGACTTACAGACACTATAGCTCAATTAAAAGAGCTGATGTAAGCAGGTCATGATTTTCCTTTACTACAGAGCTGTCCGCATAATGACTATTGATCAATGAAAGCGAAGTCTCTGGCACAAATAATCATCCCTTATTTATTTTTTTTAAAATGGTCCAATAATGTTGAAAGAAGGAACTTGAATGATAGGGTGGGGGAGCAACAGAACCATCTCCCACCTTATGCATTCAGGTTAGAACCAATAAAAGGAAGTACTTCTTCACCCAAAGAGTGATTAACACATGGAATTCACTGCCACAGGAGGTGGTGGTGGCTACAAGCATAGAAGGCTTCAAGAGGGAACTGGATAAACATATGGAGCAGAGGTCCATCAGTGGCTATTAGCCACAAGGTATAGATAGGAACTCTTGGTCTGGGGCAAGTGATGCTCTGTATTCTTGGTGCTGGGGGGGGGCAACAGTGAGAGGGCTTCTAGTGTCCTGGCCCCACTGGTGGACCTCTTGATGGCACCTGGTATTTTTGGCCACTGTGTGACAGAGTGTTGGACTGGATGGGCCTTTGGCCTGATCCAACATTGACTTCTCTTATGTTCTTAGAAGGGTGGCAAGAAGATCTTTTAGTTATTTGCCTGCAAGCCTTTAAGTGATGAAAAAATGGGAAATTACATATTCCTTCCCAGTGTTTAACAGTAGAATAACTAGTTACTGTACTACTTTCCCCTTAAACCCCCAGCCAAAGGTACCTATTTTTAATACTTGCTTTGCAACATAAGAGGCAGAAGGGAGGAGGAGTGAGGCAAGAAGGAAAGTATGCTAGAGGAGAAGGTCACTTGAAGTGGATCAGGCTTATTACACAATCTAGCTGCCTTTGCTAATAACTAATTTCAAGGGAAAGTTCTGCAGTTCTTCTCTTTTCACTAAGGCTTTTAAGGTTATAAACAACTAAGCATCAGTCGCTGCAAAGTGCAACAGATTACTGCAGGTGCCACAATAAAAATGCATTATTACCCATGTTAAAAGGGTGCTTTTTAAATACATTGCAATTCAATGAAAAATTGTACTAGTGCGCACACTGTTCATGTGATCCAGTAAAAAAAAAGCTACAGGGAAAAGAAAGGTACAAGGCCCTCCAAATGGGTTTTGACACACTATCAAGGGCCTTGGGACCTTAAACCAGGGCCTGCTCCACTTTAGTCTAGTTGATTACTTAGAAAGAGATGCACAATAAGTCATGGCGAAGTGATTTTTACAGTTCTCTGACGAAGAAACCCTACATGTGTTTGCAGTTCTTTCTCAAGGCAGTTTTGGGAGTGATCATACGTTTAAAAATCCCATAAAACCTCTCACTGTGCTCATCTCAGTATTCAATAACTTCCTTTTTGCTTTTCCTCCCATCAGTCCTATTTGGACCCCGCTGATCAGCACATCAAAATTATTATGATAGATTATGATTTAAGTTTAAGAATGGAAACACAAATAGATTAGGCAGGAGGCAAAGTTTAGAATGAATAAATGGGAAGTTAGCTTTCAAGGTAAGATGTGTATTTCCCATTTAAGCAGGCCTGTAAACCTCAGTTTAAAATGTCAGTTAGCCCTAATTTTAGTTTACATTGGAAGTAACATACTGCTTAATAGTGGTTAATTTGGTATGAAGAGGGAGCTTCTAGTCCTGCGCCCTGCTCACAACCTTGTCTTGACTGTGGCTGACTTATACCTGTACCAACTGAGGAGGTCTCAGGGCCTAATCACTGTTTCCGGTTCCATGTCAAGTTTTGTCAAATGAGATGTGAACTGAGAGTTGTATGTTTGGAGGTCCCAGTAATTTATGAAACTGTTCTCAGACAATCAGGGCTCCATATGAGTCAGAACCATGGCTTGCTCCTCCCCCACATCATTTTCTCAACCTAAAACAGCCTTGGGAACTACTATTTGCCCTGTTGGGGAAGCTTATGTAAGGTTTTTTAATGGGGCAAATAGCATCTTCCCAAGGACTTTTCAGGTTATGAAGGTGCAAAAGGAAAGGTTTAACCCCCATCTCCCCACGTCATGTCTCCAATATGAATCTGTCCTCCATATGCCTGGGAATTAAATTTCAAAAATTGCTGGGAGCTCCACAATATGGCCCTCCCAGCACATCTTGTTTGACAGAATGTGAGGCATGCCCAAAACAGTGTAATGTGGAAGGAAAAAATTATTCATCCAGAAAATCTCATTACAAAGACTATGTAAATTTTGGTTTATCTTTTCTTATGCATAGCAGTGTCAAGGACTCAGCTCAGCCTCAGATGCAGCAGGTTAAGTGAGCTGACTGATCTCTGATTTTGAAATCAGGTCTATTTCAGGCATACCAGTGTTCACTGTACTTCCTAGACAATAAATCTCCATTGGTTAGATCCTCCCCAGTACCAACACAGCTGACCATCTGGATCTACTTCCCCAGGATGATTAGCTGCTGCATACACCCCCCTAAATAATGACAAGTGGCTAACATATGAAAAGTAAGCTTGCTGTTAGCTGCCATGGTGCAATGAAAGCTGCCATCTTCCACCACATAAACAAAGAGAGAATCACGGAAGTGAAAACAGCAAAACAAAACAAAAACCTGTGATTATATTTAATGAGACATGTTACTAGTATGCTGTAGATGTCTTATTATTGTGCCTGTGCGTGATGTAATTTTACATCTGTGAGGAAACCTTTGTGAAATGGAGAGATTTATGATGGCAAATTCTGTGGGATGGATTATTGCCCTTGGAAAATATGAATATGATATATATGGAGCACTAAAGCACCTTATACTACTAAGAAGCATTTTAATATTCAGTTGTCTACAACTTTAAGAATGAAGACAGACAAGATGTATTTGTGAAGCACTTTATTGGCCGCAAAGCACAACTGCTGGTGTGTTATTGAAGCCTTCTGGAAATTGCTCTTGTTATCTATGGAATCATGTTATTACTTCCTGTTATCTAAGGAACATTGACATTAAGCTTAATGAAATATTTTTAAGTCTCCTACCATGCAATATACTTCTCATTATATATAATCAAGGTTTTTTGTTTTACTTTGTCATTTTTCCACCACAGGACATTACATAAAATATTTGGGGCTGTCACTGGTGAACTGAGCAAAACCTATTTTTTTTGGGGGGGAAACACACCTTTCTGGGTTTATTCATTTATTTCCTGTTATTTGTAAAAACAGATTAAAGAATGTACTGCAATGGTTCTGTCAATAATACAACACAACACCCGTCTATGTATATTTTCACACCACAAAGAATAAAGACTACCTTTGTGTCTCACTTGAACTACTATGGGAAGCTTCTGTACTCTTACTGTTGGTTGTTTTAACTGAACACTGGAATGGCATGTTTAATTTCATTGGCTACCATCCAGCATTCAGTAAAGTGCACTGAAATCCCTCTGAATGGCTTTAAAAACAAACAAATAAAAAATAAAATGACTCAATGGTTAACCTTTAGTCCCTGAAGCAAATGTAAAAGGAAAGTGGTCAGGATTAAATTTGTTAGTCTATATGCAGATCATATGTTTTGACAAATGTTAAAATATCACTCATATTTTCATGGCAGTCAATTCCTAGTACAACAGTCTTTTGTCAGATTCCAACTGAATGTTCTCATCTATGGGTGTGGTTTTTGAAAACATTGCCTTGCTATTGAAAATCTACGTAGATTTCCAGGAATGTGAGCTGCTGGGAACCTAGCATCCTGGTCACAGATCTTTTTTGACAAAATTTGCTTCACTGTTCCCTTGTGGAAAGAGGAAAGTTTGCTTCCTCTTGTGGAAAGAGGATTAGGTGGCTCTAGCGGAGGACTGGCTAATAGTGAAGTACAGAATACTGTATTTAAAAACATCTATTTAATTAGGCTTCCCAACAAATTAGTGCTTCTAATCACCATGCAAGTAGCTTCCTTTTTATTTAACAGTCATTCCTCATTCAATTCATTGTTCTGCATATCTGGATCAAGATGTAATCTATATCATTAGTAGGTATGCTTTAAGCATTATGCATACCAAGTTTAAAAGATATGATGGCACTTGCTATTTAAAGAGCGCATTGGCAGTTCTTCTACCATTACTCCCTTGGCTTTGTTTGTATTTCCCTTCTGCTCTAATCAAGATGATTACAATAGGCATTGCACCTTTGCATCCCAAGTTCCTTCTTTACAACACCCTCCCACCTTTTGACTGGGATATAAAGGTTCAGAAATCTCCATTCGTATTTGTATCTGATGAAGGGAGCTTTGACACTTGAAAGCTTATACCCCTCCAAATCTTGCATGTCTCTAAGGTGCTACTGGACTTGAATCTAACTGTTCTACTGCAAACCAACTTGACTACCTTCCTGAAATTATCTTCAGGGAAGAACAATGAAATTCTTGAATAAGGGTAGGGATTAAAAGAAGCAGTTCAGCTTCAAGCAGCAAGATTTCCTTCCTGATCACTAGAATGTTACATATCACACCACATTATTATATTCCTAACAATGTATCATGTTGTAATACGAAGAATACTGAAAGACTTAACATTAATACACCTTTTATTTCTGGATGAACATATTTCACAGGCTGCCTCCATATGGCAAGGATTCTCCATTTTGCCTTCACTGATGCTACAAATGCAGAGGCCCTCACCTTAGCAACAGAGCACCCACATGAGTTTTCTGTGCACTTTCTTCTATAGACATATAGCAACAGCTGTCTAAAAAAATCCCTCAAAAAGCCCTCCGGCAGCATGGTGGGGAAAACAGCAGCTGCAAGGGGCTGACAGACAGAAAATGGTACTGATGTGACTGGGACTCTAGAAAATGCGACCTTCCCGTGCTTGATAACATGCTTCGACTGTGCTCTTCCCAAAATGGTTGAAGCAAAGCAGGTTTGGGAAAGAGAACCAAGGAAGCAAAACACAATTGGAGCACAGTTGCAGCCAGTGCTGCCTGAATGCCCCCCCCCCCCAAGGCACTTCAGTTTGGATGCCAAAGCAGAGAAAAACCTCCATGTGGAAGCAGCCATACATTTTAAATAACAGTGAATTATAGAATGTGGATAAGTCTCAGATTTATTGAGTGCTGTGTGTATGTGTGAGTGAGGGAGAGACCAACCCTTCAAAAGTAATGGGAAATATTTTCTCATAGCCTTCTTTCTCCAGTTTGAAATTGCGTTTAGTCTATGCACAGCAGAGCCCCTGTAAACACCACAGAGCACACTTAAATGCATAACCATCACTACGTATGTAGTACTCACTCCAATACATCCCGGTTGAACTGCTTTTGTCGATTGCCGAGAAACTCTCCAATCATCTGCCTGCTGAGTCCTTTTCTCTGGAGAAGAAAATGGGCAACTCCAACAGGTGTGTCTGGCACAAAGCCTCTCTCAATCAGGTACTGGATTCCTTTTTCAGGTTTTCTAGTGAAAAACACAAACCCCCAAATCACCTATACATTATTTTCTTCATAGCATTGAATGGTCACAGAAATATAAGAATTATCACAGGGATGTTTCATAAGCAATGCTAAAGGTTTAGATGTCTAGGATTGCACTGTTAATCTCCAGTGCAGAGGTACAAATCTGAAACCATGCTGAGGGTCTCTGTGAAAGTTTCATTACCTCAAGAATGCTATATTAATATTTTAACTGCAGCTAAGTCTTTTAGTCATACCTTCAAAACAGTTTGCTATTCTGCCCAAATTCTGTCAGCATTCTCTTCCATTTTGTTAATGTTCCTACTTTTTCTCCCTCCACTTTCTCTTTCTGCATCAAATATCTACACCCTTTGCTTCTTTTTTCTGACCACATCTCTCAACTACCCACTTTCCCCATCCTATAGACCACAGTGCCGTAACATAACACAAGGAACATCTTGGAAGATGCTCCTAGTGTTGCATTCTAAATATAGTAGTAAACCAGCCAGACATCATTTCAGAACATGAAAGCAAAAGCCCTCTCAGCAGAGGTATTCAAGAGGCACGTCAAGGCTCCATTTAAATATCATGCCAGGAGTCCATTGGACTGTGGCAGGACTTTGTAGCGAACTGGATTTTCTATTGACTAACTATAAAGTTCACTCCTACCACAATCTTACCTGTAATCTTTGTCCTTTAAAAACATTTATTCTAATGTTTGAAATGGCATGTTAGCATACATCATTCAGAACACCTTGAGCCATTGGGGGGAAAGTGGTTATTCTAAAAGAACCACAGTATGTTGCTTTATTTTGCTATATAATTTCTGTACATCTGACACACTGAGTTCATTTTAAGGATGCATGGCCTTTAAGCTGTTAAATCAAGGGAAAGGAAAATAGCCACAATTATTTAAAAAGTAAATAATAAATAAAACAAGACCCTTCACTAAAAGGACACCTAGAGGCACACCTGACACTCACAGGAACTCCAAAAGAACCACAGCTTTCTCCCTGCCCCATGCTACTAAGTCTTTTGGTCTGCTCACAGATTAATGACCCTCTCAAGACCCTTCACTTAAAGACAAATACCACAGCCAGATCTCCCCATGGAACATAACTTTGAACCCAAATTCCAATGGCAGTTGCAGTAAAAAGGAGATTCTTGGACATTTTAAAGAACAAGTGTATTCACCTATCCACTCACCAGTTCATATACCCTTATGTTATATTAAATCTGTTAGTATTTGGATCAAACCACATGCTATTTTCCATGTTTACTTTCCACAGTTTCAGCATTTACTACACCTCTCATACATGTGTTGTATAAAACGTTCACTGCAACATGGTATAAAGTCTGTTTTAAAGAAAAAAATCCCACTCTATCTTCCCACATCATGCAAGCGTAACTTTTCCTTAAAGCAGAATTGTCTGAAAAAGCTTCATTATAGCTTCTTACAAGCAAATGCCAACCTTTTAGTAAGAAATATGATCCCAAACTGGGCAGCAGATTTTCAGCACACCGAACAAGCTATTCACAAAGTAATCAGTGTTGCTTCAGGGATACAGATTGCACCTTTACCTTCTCAAGAGTCCACAGACAGGAAAGCCCTGACCCAATCTCGTCAGATCTCAGAAGCTAAGCAGGGTCAGCCCCGGCTAGTATCTGGAAAGGAGATCTCCAAGGAATACTAGAGTCGTGACACAGGGGCAGGCAATGGCAAACCACCTCCAAACATCTCTTGCCTTGAAAATCCAATGGGGTCACCACAAATCAGCTGTGACTGGACGGCACTTTCCTCCACCACCGCCACCACAGACAAGAAAACATGGCCAATGATGTTGCTGTGGGACAGCTTTCCACAGACAAAACAAGAGGAAGGAAGAGCAACCACTCAGTTTTACTCTTTCCACATTAGTTTGTTTTATTTTGAACATGCAGGTGTTTCACAAGGAGAGGGCACGGAAGCAAGGCTGTTCAGATCTCCGCCCCCCTTTTTTTTGGAAGAAAAAAGCCAAAGTAACTAGGAGGTGGTTTTGTTCAGTGAGAAAAACAGCCCGTCTCTCTGAACCCCATGCCTTCTCAACTTACAAAAAGCCTTTATTGGAGCCTGCTTTTGCAAAATGAAACAGACATTATCTAGATTGAACATTATTTTAATTGAAGAAAAGACCCTTTAAGGTCAGCCAAGATGTTTATTTTTAATCTTCTTTCAACCAGCAACCCCAGTGGTGGGGGTGAGGGTGCATGGCACAACTGGGACAAATCAAGGAAAATAGTGAGACCAGATATGGGAAAGAGATGTGGCATAATCTTGTCCCAAAGGTTAAGATTCAACAAAGAGAGATCAAAACTGGAAGAAAACACATTTTTATTAAATAAATTAAAATAAAATGTATTCTAGATATCTGGACAGCAGATTGAGAATACAGTATTATACATGTTGGTAGAATTCTTCCATATTCCGTATATTCTAATCATTGTATTCTTGATTAACTCATTAACATTACAGCTAAGATACAGCTCCCATGTGATCTGCCCATGTCCATGTGGAAGAGCCATGGGGATGAGCCTGATTATTATCCCCTTCTACAAAGGCATGAAAATGATCTCATTGACATACAGAATCCAAAAATAAATAAATAAAATAAAATAATGAGACAGATACAGAACGCCCTAGGTTAATTAGCTTTGACAATTCTGGTAGAAACTACTGCTGATGGTTTCCTTGTTTTTCACTCAGATCAACCATATCCTTTAGAGCTGAAATTTTAACTGTCTGCTCCCTCCCAATATCTAAAAGCATTTAATGATGAAGCTGTACTCAAAGTGCATTGAGGGTAGTTGTAGAAAAAACCTGCAACATATACGTGGTATCATCATTTTCTCTGTGTTATCATCCAATTTTCCTCAAGTATTGCACACATCTAAGGAAAAGTGTTTTGGTAAACTACAGCTGATTATCAGTGACTTCTCCTTGCAGCCCTGATCACTTTCTCAGCTTGGATAGGGGTGGGTGGGGCAGCCGAACTCAACCTCTAAACAAAACAAGATGGACCAAATAGATTTTACTGTGTTTGCTTCCTTTTGGCTTAGGCTATCTAAGATACATTAGGTTAGAGCACTGATTTTGTAAAAGATTTTGCTGTAGAATACTTATCTGTCTGTCTGAACTAACTAAACTTCCTGGAAAAAAGTAGGGTTGCCAGATCCTCCCTGGCCACCGGTGGGGGATGGGTGGGTAGAGGGGCCAGCTCCACGTTTGGAAACTCCTGGAGATTTTGGGGGTGGAGCCTGCCATAGAGTCCAGCCTCCAAAACATCCATTTTCTCCAGGGGAACTGATATCGGTAGTCTGGAGAAGAGGTGGAATTTTGGGGTATCCCCAGGTTCCACCTGGAGGTTGACATACCTAGGAAAAATGCATGGGTGAGTGGGGAGTTGATACTGCAGGTGACTGTTGCCAGGCTGGGCGTTTACAAGTTATCTGTGAGAATACTGCATGGTGACTGTGGATCCTTGGTCCACTGTTCCTTAGTAGAATTGGAAAAAGTTTCCAGTGCAAGCACTCCTACACTCTCTATCTGAAAGTAGGTTTTTATCCAGATTTGAGGAAGGGCTTGCCACTGGGTCATGATAAAATATTTTTACCTGCCATTCCACTGATATAGAATATGTTGCATGTATTGCCAATTTCCATCATTGCCAGAATAATTTGGATACATTTTAAAAACATCTCACCCATGCAGGTTCCCACAGACCAGAGGAAGTAGATACATTTCCCAGTCAAAAGACAGCAGTGGAATTCACAGGAGAGAAGAAGTGTTCTTCTCACTGTTGTACAAAACATTTGGCAGACAAAAGAAGTCCCAGTACATTATTAAAGAACTGGTACCATACCTTTGTAGGTATGGTAGGACAGAGATAAAGAGAGACAAATAGCAAAAAACAAAAGAGAAATTTCTGGTAATATCATTAGGAAATGGTTCTGTGCTTGAGTAAACCTGTAGTTGAGAGATGGGAAAGGAGGATGAAAAACCATTAATAAATCGCATTCCTTGGTGGAGGATGAATAGTCATAAAAGAAGCACATTTAATCATCTCCCATCAAGTCTCTCATGCTGACAGAGAGCAAAGGAGAAAATGCAAATCCCTAAGGCTGGGAGAAGAAGAGGAAGAACCTCTGCTTTAATCCTAACCTGTTAAGGGCATAGACAGCTCAAACAAAGAGGAAGCCAAAGTCATCTAACCCAGGGGGTTCTTCTTGTTTTGATCAGGGAAGGAGCCCTTTCGACTCCTCCAAATTTATGCCCATCCTTTCAACTTGCCAGGCTGAGCCTCTTGCTGTGCTCTGCAGAGGGAATGATCAGGGCTGCAAGGAGAAAGAGAATGAAGGAATGCAGTTGCCCTATACGCTTTTGTCCATGCCTTTGGCTGGGTGGATCAGAGCATCGTCTCTCTGCTGAAAACTATTCTTATGTTATTTGTTTATTATATTCAATTTATATATCACCCATTCCCTAGATAGGGCTCAGGATGGTGTACAACAGACACTAAAATCACAAACACTAGACGACAATTTAAAAATAAACATTCCTGTAAAATTCATAACAACTATACAGTTCAAACAGATGGCGGTCAAATTCCAATTGTGCTACTGCCTTGCGGGGTGGGGGGGGGAGAGGAAGAGTGCCAGCTAGGTAGACGCCTGGCAGAACATCTCTGACTTAGAGGCCCTATGAACCTCAGCCTTTGAGGATATGGGTTTGCATGGTCACATTCCTCCTTCTTTCACTTTCTGCTCTCTCCTCTTTGGTAACTCGTTCCCAAATCCACCTCTGTTACTCAGCAACCAGCACAGCAGAGGCTATGAATAAGCCAGTAGCCAAGCTGCTTTTCTGCTACTGACTGGCCCCAAGCTCATGTATGAAATAAAAAATGCAGTCAGAATGATACGATACTGAAAACTTCCTGAAGCTGGAGTGTTAAACTCTCCTGCTGCAAA